GAGCTCTGCAAACTCAGCCTAGAAACATTCTCATTATGTACAACACAGGGATGAATCACCACCACGGCAGATTTTAGTTCTTGTAAGAATAGCTTTGCAAGACCAGAGCTAGATCTGCAGGGTTTGTGTTTCTTTCCCTTGGTGGTATGAAGGATAACAGGGCAAAATATTAGGCTGTTACATTTTCTCTCCCTTCCTCCCCTGTTTCTTTTGAGTTAAAACTATCCTTCTTAAAATTGCTGTGCAATTCACCGTGGTGGCTGATGTCTTAAAACGATCAGTCAGCAAGAACCTGTAGATAATTGTTAGTGTCTGTGAGCTGGCAATAAACACTTGTTTTTCTTTCCAGTGCTGGTTGTGTATTTAGCTTCAAGACAGGAGGAAAATTTGGAGAAGCATGTTCTTATCAATTAGACCAGAAGAATTGCTTCTGAATTCTCTGGGCCTGCTTTCGGAAAATGTCACCCAAAGAGAGAGAGACTCAGTAGTTCTTGTGGTTTGAGGCTATCAGCTCAAGAAAGACATGAGAACGTCATTGTGAATATTTTCCCATGTTTTGAACCATGTACACCAGAAATTTTATTTCCTTATCTGTGAAGCACAAACAGTGTTTACACTTTCGCAAACTGGAAAACACATGAGGGAGTAAAATCAGGGAGGCAGGAAACTGGAGACATTCTTGGTACTGGATATCTAATGAAGGCCATCAGCTTCCCTGTGACAGCAATTTGCAATAGGATATTCAGAACATGTTTACATGATGCATTACAAGGGGTATTCATGCTACCTCTGAACTGTGTTAGCGTTAATAGCAGAGTAATAAAGCTGCGTTGTTATCGTATACTGCCCCAGCTAATTATCTTGCTCATAAGCTGCAATGAGCTCTGTACTGGCATGGTGGACTCTTTCTGGTCTCTAAATTAGCTCAGGGGTCTCCTCACATGGCAGGGAGTTTTAGAAGGCAGGCACTTATTTTCATTTTCCAGTAGTCACATATTACTGCATTCACTGTGAATAGTCTGGACTCTCACTAATTTTTGTACACAACACTGTAACTCGAAGCACTATCCTTGCTCTGCTTGAGACAGGCATGAAAACATGGGTTCCTTTTGCCTGTTTGGGGTAGAAATGTCTCGCTTTAAGGCAGTATTGCTCAGAAAATTGCCGGCTAGAAGTCGTTTTCAAGAGCAGATGGAGCATAGTTTCCTACAAACCCTTTCACAGTGTTCTTTGGGTTTTTTTTCAGCTGATAGAGGTGCTGAAAAGGGGAGAAATAGGACAAACATGCAAGTAGTACAGGATCCTGCTGGTATTCAAGGGCACTCTCACATAAATATGTGTTTTGTTTTGTTTTGTTTTGTTTTTTCTAATATGTGCCTTTTAACTCTTAAACAGCCAAAACATCACTGGCATTTTGGGGGGCTGAGAAAACAGGTCTCACAAATTGCTGAACATTTTCACAGGCTCAGCCTGATGTTCTGTAACCTGCTGGTCCTTCTGTTTCTTTTTCTTTTTTTTTTTTTTTTTTTTTTTTGACAGGTGGGATAGATACTTCCAGCTTTCAACTGCTTTCCCTCTAAAGTCAAGTGTACCTCGAGTTAGTGTTGCACCTGTGATCGTTCTTTGGCCTGGATTCACATTTTTAGGAAAAAGCTTTGCAGTTAGAACAATTTATTTATGCTTTTGGTTTATGTTAAATCAAAAAAAAAAAACCCCAAACAACCAAAAACCAAACCAACACCCCAATCCCCCAACCTCCTCCCAAAAACCACTATTGGCAGATAGAGAAAGAATTGGGATCAGATTAACCACTTGCTTGTCAGTGTTCTCTGACCAGTTTAAATATTCTAATTCTGGCATTTTTAAGGAATTGCAAGTTAGTTATATTGGTAAAGATACTAAGCTGGTCTAGTGCTTCTGTTTGGCACAAGAAAAAATAAGTATCTCAGATATAGAAACAGTTGTAATTATTCCTATACAGACCTTCTGCTACCTTTTACCCTAGAAAGGTAAGGTGTTCGCACACTGTGGTCTTAGAATACTGATAACTGCTAGTTTTTGTGAAGAACGGATGAAGACAGGGTAATTTTCCTCAAAAAACCCACACGTTGGCTCTGCTATTGCCTTACCTGGAGCTGCGTATTGATTTTCTTAACAAGACTGAGTTGGTTTTTTTTTTTTTTTCTCTTTTGTAGAAATGAGAGTCACAAAATTGGCTGTTAGGTGATTAAGCAATGCCTCCTAAAGTTGTAAGCATCCTGCAACAAGCATGTCTCTTCTTGCCATGCAGCCGATGCCCGGCGGGCTGGGCGCGCACCCAGTCTGCTTTCATACAGTCACAGCTTTTGGAACACGACTTCAGGAAAAACACCTGGGTGAGCCTGGCAGAGGAGGGAGATGGTGGCATGGGCAAGGTGCCACCACACATGGCTATGGCCACCAGGCACCACCCCCTGAACCCCCAGCCCATGCTTTCTCCCACCTTGGGGGACAGTACTCTGCCTTCAGCTCCTCTCAGGAAGCAAGGCTGAGCTTTGGTAGATTGTCTGCTGCCCATAGCAGTGGTGAGGGCAGTGGGTGAGACAAAACCCCCAGATCTTGTGGTGCCTCAGCACTCCCTGGGTGGGTGGCTATGTCCTGAGTCTGCTCTGGGAAAGGACACCCCTTTGCCCAGGAGTTTTGCACTAACCACAACTAGTTGTGCACCTAACAAAAAAACATCACCTCTAGATGTCCTTGTCATTTCACTCTTCTGCCAGAAGTTAAAACACTTGTATCCAAGAGTGGTGAGGTCACTGCTGCTGAACAACTTCTCTTATGGCCAAGTGCCTCTTTTTCTGTTGTTTTAGAGAGGTGGCAGAGAGGTTGGGAGCAGGAGCATCCTCAACAGGGTGAATGGAGCCATGACAATGCAAGAAATTCATCTTCCTGGCTGTTTCCTTTGACACTCTGCCTCCTGTAAACTCTTCAAGAGAAGAGTTTGGGCTAAAATACTGGGCTAGAAGCTGCGATGTAGGCACATCTTTGCTATGCTTTTGAGTCTTGTCAGGCAGCTGCCTGTTTACAGGAAAAATAGTACAGTTGAAAAGCCCTATAAGCAGACAGAAACACTATGGCATAAAGAAGAAAAAGGATGTAACATAAAACTGAAAATGTAGTGCAATAGCTAGAATGGAGCGGGGATCATAAAGTGTCGGGGGGAGGGGTGGTGGTGAAAAGCAAACAAAAAGGGAAATTGGTTTTGATGGGCTGACAGGAAGGAAAGTAGAGCTGGAAAATCCTGATCCACTTTTCTAGTCTAATAGCAGAGGTGGTGTGGGGCCTGGGGGAAGAGAGATTCACTCCCCAGGGACAGGACAGTGGCTTTCATGCCTACCCGACACTGGCCAGGGGGAAGGTAGGACACTTTGCATTTTATTACTTGCATGCTTGAAGCAAATTGCAGGTTACTGGATATCAAAAATCTTAACTTGCTCAGTTCCATTGGGAACTTTTACTGAACAGCATGCACTGTGTTTAAGTTGAGTTATAATTATCATCAGGGTTGTTTGGGCTGTGATGATTTTTCGGCACTGCTCCTGTATATACTCGGTTAGAAGCCAACGCTTTGCATAGGCGAGAGGGTGAAGTCTTGTAGATGCCCAGCAGACTTTAACTGCCTACTCCATCTATATATACAATTTTTAAAGTGTCAAAGTGGGCTTTTTACATTCAGAAGAGGAGACACTGATCTTTTTGAGCAGTAGTTGCCCCTCAAGACTTAAAAAGTTGAATAAATAATACTTTTTTTCAGTTGTTATGTCAACATAATATGCTTAGGTCTGACATGTTATAACATAAAGTTATATAATTTGAAAATGAAAGTATTAATATCCTGAACAAGCTTTTAAAAAATAAATAGTTCTGACTTTGAATCAAAAGCAGAGGTCAAATTTCCCCACAAAACAGATTCCAGATCTTTAGCTGCATTTAGGACACAGAGCTAAACAAAGGCTGAAAAGGCAGCAACCACTGAATTTTGACATTTATGGACTATTGCCATACCTTTAAATTTGCACGACAGAGTGGTAGTGCTTGTATAAACACCTTTTTTATAAAGGAAGAATTTAATTAGTTTCAGGGACAGTCTAATTCTCCTTGTCCATGCAAAATGCTGCTGGTTTTATGGAAGCTGTGAAGGCAATGACATTTCTTATTGAAAGAGAGTGTCCATTCTTTACATTCCATCTTTACAGCCATTTTTATCTCAATTCTTTGTTAAATCTAAAGAGGAAGCTTGTACGCAAACCCCGTTGTTTTTTCTTTGAGAGGTCAGAGCTGGTGTTTTTAAGCATTCTGCACTTAGTGAATGATTTCTTGTGGAATTAAAATGTTCACCTATGAGAAGAGAGAAAGCTCACCGGCTTTCCTTCTTTTTACATTTGTTTGAGATCAGCCTTTCATTATAAACCAGAGAAAAACACTGCAAGGGATTTTTTTTTTTTTTGTTCCTTTCTAATGTATCTTCCTTCTGATTTCAGCTTGGGGAAGAGCTGCTGCTGCCACATACCTGGTCGGCTTTATACTTCTAGTCATCTGTTTTGCTCTGGCCATCATAGCATTTGCCATTGACACACTTCGGTTCAACTTCATACGAGGGATTGGAGGCTTGCTTTTTGTTGCTGGTAAGGCAGTAGATGAAGTCAAGTTTATCTTGTGCAGGAGTATCCACACTAGAACTGGTATTTCCCTCAGCTGATTCTATACCCAGGCCTTTGCCTATGTGCACTTGAACACTCGATGAAAAATAACATAGTCTGTCACAGCAGTGGATCAATTTTCAAATCCTCTTAAACGTGGGTGGGTTTAGCTACAGGCATTATGGAGACAGTCAACATGATGGGCGTTAAACATTTTTTGTTTTCTCCTCTTTCTTCAGCTGTGTTCTCCATCATGGGCTTGGTCATTTACCCAGTAAAGTTCTCGACTGAAATTGAAATGACAGGAATCAATATGTTCAGCTGGGCCTATGGCTTCGGCTGGACCACTGCCATTATGGAAATATGCTTGGGATTCTTCTTCTGCTGCCTTCCTAACTATGAAGATCAAATCTTGGGTAATGTGAAGCCCACATATTTTTACTCTTCCCCATGAACACCAGGAAAAATGCGTTCACATTCCAGAGATATCTGACAGACCAACTATGTTTTCCAGAATATTGTCATCAGGTGTTAGTAGAAAAGGCTGGAAACTTCTCAAATCTGTGTAGAAAAACAGTACTGGCATTCTGAAATAAAGTTATCTAATCTAGTTTGGACCTTCATATCTGATGTGGGTTGGTTAGATAAAGTCTAAACATAAAAAACTCATTGTGTTCCCTCATTCATTCCTGTGAGTGGGGTGTATGTGGTTTCCATTGCATCTTAAATGCATTCATATTTCTAATTAAATTCAGAAATGCTTTTTAAACTGCCAGTAAACAAAACAACATACATCATCTTCCTGGAGAAAAGCAGCTCACAACCCCCCCCATTTTTAATGTAACATTTTTTAACTTGAAGATTTTGCACATTTTTCAAGAAGCTAAATACCTGTATCCACTAACTGCCAAAGTAGTAAATTAGTCAGCCAGCACTTTGTAGCTTTGCTTCCATTTTTCATTCATTCACTTAAGCTGTAGGGATAGGGTTAGAAAATGACAAGAAAAAGCCCCCTACCAAAGCCAGCATCTTGACTTCTACCCATCCATGTGGAATGTAAGTATTTATTTCTGAATATCTGTAAGAGTGTAAGGACCATCAGTAAACCTTTAAAAATCCTGGCATGTCATTGCTGGGCCAGCACAGAGCAGGCAGAGGCAGAGGGGATTTCAAACCACCCCTGCAACCTACAAATCCGGTTTGAAGAGGCTCCTGGTGTGGCTTTCTTCATTGGACATCTGCCCTTTTTATCTGCTATATCAAAATCTATGGCTTTACAAAGCTCCTTTATACTGGTCCAGCTCTTTTTTCCAGCGTAAAAGGGCCAGGAAGGACTTAAGCAAAGGTATGATTCCCCTCCACATCAGGAATGGACCTGGAGCAGTGTGAATGTAGGTATCAAACATTTGTTAAAAGGCCTCTTTTTCATTGGTTTGCTGTTCATAAGTATTTTTAAATTGGAAGTGTATATTGTCGTACATAAGTGTAAAATGCATAAATAGCCCTTATTGTCTCATACTTGGGCTCTCATAGAGAAAATCACATCATAAAGCACCTTTCAGTATCTTACACTCCATAGTGCTATAAGCTTGGATATACTGCAAGCCATAAAGTAGACTCAAGACTCTGCTAGTTTCTGTTTTGTTAAGCCTAACTTTATGTTCCACTTCTTGTAATTGAAAAAATTGATACTTCTGGTGTGTGGAAAAGGAAGTCTCATTGAAATCCTTAGCTACAGAGGATTATTAGCTTGTAACACATCTGCAATTTTGTAACTATCTGCACTTTATGTAAAGTGCCCTACTAAATGTTATTACTGCAAAGAATGAGAAAGTTGAAAAATTTTTTAGTAAAACCTCTGGGTAGCTAAAATTAATAAAGGCACCAGAATTAACCTTTTCTTTTTTTTAAAGCAATTAACTCCATTCATTTTTATGGAGTGACTTTTAACTTTGATCAATAAACATGAGAGATGTATCAGACCAATGGGGAGAGTATATGCAACACTGAATAGTTAGACAAGAACTTGCAAATATATTAAAAGAATGTTTTTCTAGCTGGACAGAAATTAAAATGAATTAGAGTTGAGAAAGCAGTTTGTATAAAGTGGCTTGCAATTCTTTATGTAATGTTATCTGTTCAGGGAAAAAAAAAAATTAATCTTATCATTATGCTTATTATACCTAATAAACGATAGCATCTGTGTATTGTTCCAAAAGTGGGTCTTAGCTTTCTTTGTCTACCAAGAGCAGGGAAGTGTGGAAGCCCTCAAAGCCTCCTCTTCTCAGGCATGACCCTGGAGTACCTGGCTAAGCTGGCTGGATTTTGAGAGGGGAGAGCAACTTACACATCTGGTGCTACAACAGTTTGTATTATTCTTCAGTCCTATTCTAACTGTTTCCTGAGGCCTTTTTCAAGAGCACATGAGAATAATGGACTTGCTCTGTTTGCTTATGGGCGATGTGGATCCAAGTAACTATATGCACAACTCTGTGCTATAGTGTTCTGCAGCTTGTTTTGGCCTGGAGGACAATGCACTGTGGAAGCCAGTGTGGTCTCGCTCAGTGTTTTTGCTCCAATGGATGTGGCAATCCCTTGAGGAAGCAAAAGCGAACTTGAGCAACCATTGATTGTATTTACAGTTTCTTTAACATTAGCTGGACACTGACCCAACATCTGGAGGTGGGGAAAGGTGCACAAAACAAGGTTTAGGAGTGTGACTCCAACCTTGATGAGAGAGCAGAGCATAATTAAAAGGTAAAGAAAATCTCCAGCTGCTCTCAGCAGCTTCACTACCTTCCTCTTTATCCTCTCCTCCTCTTCCTCCTCCTCCTCCCTAAGGGTGATGGACCAGTGCCAGGGCTGGTGGCTGTGGCTCTCCAGGACACAGCCCCAGTCCCTGTTCTTCACTGCCACGTTCCCCTTCCTGGGAGAGAGGAGGACTGAAGTAGCTTTGCTGACCCCAGCACAGCAGCAGGGACCCTAGTCTGGCTCCCTGCCCCAGGCCCCCACAAGGAAAGGCTTTCTCTAAAAAAAGGAGGGGGTCAGGTGGGTATCCAACAAGCAGAAGCATCATGGGGCTAGAGTTCAAGTGCCTGCCTTTAGAGTAGTTTGCTTCCAGTCATGCTGGGCCAATTCACCACAGATCCCTTGAAAAACACATCCTAAACCCCGTGGCAGAAAAACAGTGAGAAAAAGTATAAAAATGTTGTACTGATCCCAGTGCTGTTTCCTGTGACTGCTGCAACAGGGGAGCATGGCAAAAGCAGCATGTAAAATGTAATTTGTTCTGATAGAAAAGGAAGCTGAGTCCAGAAGCCAAGGAGATGCCTCAATCAGATTATTAACTAATTAGGCTATCAACTAGCTAGGTTATCAACTAAACTGTTAAATTAGTCTACAGAGAGTCAACTAGATTATTGACTAACCAAATTGTTAGATTAATTTGAGCTAAATCAGCAAGTTTGGATTCTCAAGCAAATGAGAAATTAGAGGAAGAGAAGACATCCCTTTAGTTCTGAATCTCTGTTTGGCAGGGTTCTTGCCCCAAGTCTTGCTTATATGAGAAAAGGACACTTAACCACTAAGAGCAGCACAATAAAAGACAGAAAGTTTCATTGTGCCCAATGGTAATGCTAAAAAGAGAACAGGAAAGAACAGATGTCTGCGAGATTTGGCTTTCGAGATCATCAGGTCTGCTACAAAAACTGAAGTAAAGATTTGACCACCAAAG